CTTTTCCTCCAAGTGCTTAGAAATGGATTTCTTGAAGACCTGCTCCATGATCTTTATGGGTACTGAGGTGAGGCTAACTAATCTGTAGTTCACTGGATCCTCCTTCTCTTTCTTAAAGATGGCCACTATATTTACCCTTTTCCAGCCATCAGGGACCTCCCCCAATTGCCATAAATTTTTAAAGATAATGGCCAGTGGCTCTGCAGTCACATCAGCTAACTCCCCCAGTACCCTCGGATGCACTGCACTTGGCCCCATGGACTTGTCACATCCGGCTTTTCTAAATAGTCCCTAACCTGTTATTTCACCACTGAGGGGTATTCACCTTTTCCTGAAACTCTGCTGCCCAGTGCAGTAGTCTGGGAGCTTACTTTGCCTGTGAAGTCCTGGATCCTCAAATACATTCAGACACCCTATAGCAGATAGATGGTCAGATACATAAACACCCTTACAGACTTGGCCCTCAGTTAATTTTGAAAATTGGATTTAGACTTACGAATCATCGTAGGATGGCCAGACATCGTCCACAGGCAGAGGGAGTTAACTTTCAACCCAGCCATGGGTTTTATATAGCACCTGAGCTGACTACTGAGCCTAAAACATCCTGTCCTCTCATGTTTTCCCTTTCATAATTTTGCTAATCTCCATGTTGAAATGTTTTGGCTTCTTTGTACCCCACCTCTTTTGCATCAGTTCTAAATCTTTACTCCTTCCATAGTTCGAAACCTTCTTTTCATTTCCAGTCTAAATGTATTTGCAATTAATTTGTAGCCATTTGATTTTCTGCCGATTGTTCTTTAACCTAATACATCTTCTGCCTCTGATATTCACTCCACAAATAAACCAGTATTTTTAAAAGTTATTATATCCCCTCTCAACTTCATTTTGCTAAGGTGAACAATCCAAGCTCTTCTAATTTCCTCTCCAGTCTTTTAGAGTGAGGGCTCTAAGTTTTTGTTCATATTTGGTACCACACAATTGTATCTTCATCTTACTAAAGGCTAAGGCAAAGGCTTGATTCAGTACTTGGGTCATATCTAGTTTGTCTTTGGTCTCCACCACATCTTAGAGGTCTCAGTTCTCTTCTGGGTTTCTTTATTTATATGAATTGAGAAGCCTTTTCTCTCCTCTCCCATTGGGCAACATGGTCATGTTCCTTCTTGTGCCTATGGTCTCTGGCCTCTTGAATCCTGCATTCTTTACTACCAAGTAGCTCGAAGCTGGAGGTCACCTTTTTCCACCTCTGCCTTGCCTACAGCTTAATGGTTAGGGTGCTCTCCTGGCAGGCAGGAGGTATGGGTAGAACTCCCTGGGCACATACACGTGCACATTTACTGCACAGTAACCAAAAATTACTGCACAGTATGGATAGCATTTACATGTGAACACCCATACTGCACAGTAAATATGGCGACTTACACTGACTTGAGCATGAATTTGATACTTGCATCATGCAAGTACCAAACTTACACCTGATTAGTTACTACGCAGTAATGCACATATAGATGCTTTACTGTACAGTAACACTGTGTGTGTGGATTGACTTGGGACTAACTTTAGTCCCAAGTTGGTCCACACACAGCATTACTGTGTTTTAATGCCTGCACGTGTAGACACCACCCTAAACCCGCTTACTGTACAGTAAATTTTAATGCACAGTAAATGCACGTGTAGATGCGCCTGCTGAGATTGAAAAGGGCCTAGAATTCAATTCTCCCACTTCCTGGGTGACTGCTTTGGCCACTAAGCTGTTATATAATATGGTGGCTGGCCGCATCACATCCTCACATTTAAATAAAGACTAGTCGACCCTGTTCAGTTCTTTGAAGGGGTTCTGGCTCTGGGTCCTGTGTGAATAGGTGCCTCCAAGCAGCCCTTACTTTGGCATCTAACCTCCAGAGGGGCATTTTCAGACCTACCCCTGGCTGAGTGTTTCTTTTTGGCTAGCCCCGTGTGGATCCCTGCTCAGGATCCCATTCTGAGGTTCCTAATTCTGACCACGCACTGTATAATCCAGACACTTAAATCTGGGTTTTGGATGCCCCTTATGGGGTCAGGAACCTAAAGTCAGGTTTAGGGTGCCTAAGTAGTACACTTCAGATCTGGACTCTAGACATTTTTTCTCCAGTTACTGGAGTAAGGGCCAGGTAGAAAGGTTATAACAGGCACTGATGATTCCTTTTCTTGAAGTAAGGAACAAGTCACCTAGCACAGCAGAATAGTCTCTTGACTTACGCTTGTTCTTCCGGTTCTCCTCTTAGAAGTTTCTGTTCTTCATTTTCAGCTCTGAGGAAGCTGATGGGTTAGCTGGAGCTTTTCTGTCCCTTCCTCTTTCCTTTTCACTTTGCTTTCAGTGTCCTATGGGATGAGGAAGAGGGATAATGAAGGGCTGTCAGGAGGTGGTGAGCAGTGCTAGTGGGATAGGTGCACGGAAGCAGTAGCTAGGTTTTGTTTGGCAATGGAGTTCTGGTCTCCAAACAGGAGCATGGTGGGCTGGTTTTGTTGCTTTGTTTTTTTTGCATGAACATTCACATTTCTTGCAGACAGAAGGGTCTTATCTTTCCTACCAGAATTCTGGATGTTCTCATTATCCACAGAAATGCATAGCCTTTAGTTAATCCTGATTAAACACGGCTCCTAGACAGGTGGCAATATGATTAAAAAGTAATAGTAGTAGTATTTTGTTACTATGCTGAGATGGTTCTTGGGGATAGGAGAGATTTTCTTTTGCCAAAGCCCCACAGGTGAACACTTATCCTATCATTTTCCACTAGGTGTCTCATAATTCTTCTTTTACATAGTTTTAACCAGAGTAGTACTGATGTAAAGCTTTTTGTGACAGGTGAAGAATTTATTATTTGCTGTATCTAGCTCTGATTTTTGACACTACAGTGCCTCAGTGCCCTGTTTTTATTAGCTGAATAGAGTCAGCTGGGGCATGTCTCTCCTGTACCCTCTCTTACAGAAGATTAATTCAAAGCAGTAATTTTTCTCTACTGTTCTTATACCTTCTAAGCACTCCTCAGTGGACTTGTTGGTGATCTTGCAGGATTTCTACTTAATTTACATGCAGAAAGTATATATATTTCATTCAAATTTAATCTGATTATCCAAATTTCCATTTTAGTTGCAGCTGTTAAGGCCCTTCTCTGTTGTATTCACTTAGGCTGGATTTCCAGTGTTTGAAGACTGCCTGTTTGACTGAAATAGCCTGTTGAACTTCCATTTAACTAAACTTCTGTTGGCTCCTCTTTTTTCTAGGGATGTGCATGGTTTTTGGGGATAAGATTATAAAGTTTCCATGCATCTAAATACTTGTCATTTTTTCTCTTTTGACTTTAAAATAGCATCCTGATTTTTAAATCATCCTTTCTAAAGTTCATTGTCACCAAGCTAGTGGTTGCTAGGATCTTGCACCTGGATGATGGTTACTATGGTCATGAATACTAAGCAATTCAGCTATAGTCACTTTTTCAGCTAACAACTGTGTGTGTTACAACTACATCAATAGCCTCCTCCTCTAAACTTCTGTGCTCTAGTACTAGCAGTTCCAAGAGGTAAGGTTTAGGTTATGAAACCTAATGAAACTGCTTCTTTTAACCTTGTCATATGGCAATTATTGACTTTTTATATGCAGAAAATCAAAGCTGTTTATTAATTATTGCCATTTGACTCATAATTGGCTCATTGATCTCCCACAGCATTATTCACTCAAGGTTCTTTTCCAGAGGTGGAACCCAGTAACATAAGCCCATTAAAATATTTATTTCCTACAATTAAGACTATTTGTGCAAATTGCTATGTAGTACCTTTCATTCGGAAACTGTATCCAAGAGACACTATGGAAATTTTTAGGTTTGGTATTACTCTCCAATCACTACTGATTAATCTTTTCCTTTGCCACAGGCCACATCTAAATATTACATTATTGCCTTGGTTTCTATCGTTCCACTATACTTCAGAGATTTCTGTTATATTGAAGGGTTTGAGGGCATTTGGCAGATACTTTGGATTACCTGTCCTTTGATTTTTTTTCTTTCTTTTTGTTGAGCTTCTCACATTGATATATAAATACTTATACTTTATGGTCAACACTTTTAAATCTAAGTAGCTGAGTTGGGCTCCTAAATCTCCTTGTGAATGTACAGCAGTATAGATTTTGCTGTAGTAGCTGTATAGTAAATCATCAAAAGAAGTCAACCTAGTGCATGAGCCTACTGTTGTTGGGATTCACACATAGTCAAGCGTGATAGTGGTATTGGGTGTATAGATGGTGTAAGACAACTCGAGAGTCTCATTCATTGTATGAAGAACTATATGAGCTGGGGAGGGAAATACCATCTCTGGAATAAGAAGCTAGAAAGCCTTACTGCTTCTCACTATGCAGAGTTATCTTCACATCTGCAAATCAAAGGGGCAACATTTGTTTTGCCCATGCTTTGGTTTGGGAGAAGTACAGGGGTAGGGAGTGCCTGTCTCCATAAAGTAGAAGCCGTGAGAAAATCAGACTGGGAGTCTTTATTTTGAGAGTGGACCAGGCCTGCCAGAATTTGAAATGAGTCTTGAATGCCATCTGACACAACAACCTTTGACTTCAATGGGCAATTTGATCAATGATGCTAGGACTGGCCCACACAGAAGTTAACAACTGAGTCAAAAAAATGATGTGCAGATTTTTTTGTAACTGAAAGGATATAGTATTCAGGCTTATGCCATCTGGATTCTTCTTCTGAGACTGAGATCCATGTAGCTATGCCATTAATCATTAAATCATAAAGCATTGCAAGATAAGTTTGGTAAAGAGGGAGAGAGTGCAAAATATTTTTGAAATTATGATTTGATGAAGATCAGGATGATTTTGAAGGTGCAACAATATTTGAAGAAGGAAAAAGACACTTCGATTAAAGAAAAAGGCTCCCAAGATAGGACTGTGTGTGTGTGTCAGTGACTCACAGCTGGCTGAGCTGAAACGGACAGAGAAAATCCCTCCCTCCAAAGCTGAGAAATGAGCTTCTACATTCATCTCCTTCTCATCTCAACTCCCTCTCGAACTCCTCCTCCTGCAGAAATACAGTAGAAAGTTAGAAAAAATCCTCAAGTTGGGTAAAAACTCCTTCCCCTCTGGCTTCATTAGTTTCTCCTTCCCTTCCTTTTCTTAAATATCCCTAAATGGTAATCTGAAACTGTCAAGATGAGGTTAAGAACGTTTTTGTTCACTTTCCTACTTGAAGTCTGTTTCCTATGGAAAGGGGCACTGGCTCAGCAAACAGAACTATCCACTACAGTTGTGAAATTTGAAGGTAAGAATGTCACTTTCTGCTGTATTTATTCTGTTCTTATAGTCCTAATAGTTTCCTACAGTGTGAACACTTGTATCTAACTTCAAATGGACATATTACTGTGTTACCTTATTTTTTGCACTAAGGAAAAGGCTTCTCATGTTGTTTACAATGCAGCTTTAGATTTGCCTGGGTTTTTAGAAGAAATCAATTTTAGATTGATTATTTTAAATCAATTATTTTAAAGGGCCTGTCTAAGATCGACTTGCTTCCCTCACCTCTCTATGCAGCCAGGAGTTTTTTTATTTTCCAGTTATCTTCTGGTCTCTTATACCTGCCATGTGTGTTATTAGCTGGGGCTGGTGATTAGTAAAGAAATATAAAAGAAGCAACTAGCAAAGTGTTTAACATTCTGACGTGTTGTAAATTTTTTTTTTAATATTTTATCACAATCTGTAAATATATATATATATTTTTAGGTTTTTTCCTTTACTTGTAACAATGTTATGGGTTCCTGCTGCAGAACATGATTCCTCTCTTAATTGTAATTATTTTTATTCTGTAATGGGGAAAGGCATACAAGATGAAACTTTAATGCTATGTCTGGATGTTGTTTTAAATAATAACACTTGTTTCATGAAGCATTTTATAAGGATGAAATTAGATCCTATTTAGAACAGAGAAACCTGGAGAAACAGACTTTCACTTTAAAAACTGCAACAGTCAATGTGAAAAAAAATACTAAGTTTGGGGAGAAAGATGTTAAAGCCAATGAAGAAAAATTCTTTTGAATATGACTACACATTCAAAGCAACTTACCACAAATCATAAAGCAGAAATGCCATAGAAATCTTAGAGTTTATATACACATTTTGTGTTCTGGCACATGGCATTATTAAGATTTGAGAGCATATTAGAAAGGGCTTTAGATTTCAGATGTTCTTTAACAAAACACATTGGTTCTCTCTCTTGCACATACGCTTCACCATGACCCATGGAAAACCAAGTCTACCCTGTTATATCTTGTAGAATAACTGAAATGTATAGCATCACAGTATTTTAAATTATTTGTCTTGCTCTCTCTCTTTCTTTCTTTTTTTCTTCTTTTTTGCAGATTGCCCTGTGGATCTGTTTTTTGTTCTGGATACCTCAGAAAGTGTTGCTTTAAGGGTGAAGCCAATTGGAGATTTGGTTGACCAAGTGAAAGACTTTACCAACCGGTTCATTGATAAGTTAACAGACAGGTAAATATACGTGGATATCTTTTTCTTCCCCTTCCCCCTATGCTTCTTACATCATTCTAATTTTCTGCTAATATTCTGTGCAATCTGTATGTAATAGTGTAAAAAAAAATGTGGCACTACTAAAGGGATTATGTACTTGCAAATTTGTATTAGGCTTTCTGGTGATTGTATATGTATGCCTCAGGGAAATGTATATCTGTCTCAAAAATGAAGAGAGAATATCTGTGGCCCCATAGACTTTGTACACACAAGTTTGATGCTCTTTTTTTTTTTAAAGGTGGTTGTCTTGTGTTTCCCCAACAAAAGTGGAGTTGTTCTGCACATCTCCACTCCAAACTGCAGGTGGCGGCATTCCTTTAACAATATTTAGGCTTGGCAGAATGAGACTTACTTATTATGTTGACAGCAAAAATCAATGTTTTTTTTTAACCATTTATTTAGATTTTTATCAATTCAGATCTTCAGGATTGCCTGCAATTAGGGGTGTTTTCCACTTTTTATCAATTTAACACATGCACACACTGGCCACTACACAAGCTAGGGTCTGTGCCAGTAAGGCTATGCTGGGAGTGGGGATTTGAGGGGAGAGCTGGTAGCACCTAGGAGCCTGGTGCCTCTGGCCCCTTGCTCTGCCCAGATCCCAGACAGGTCGGGGCCAAATTCCCATGCAGCTGGCTTGGCCCAGCTGAGCCTTTGCATGATTGAGGCAGGGGCCAAACTCCTGCAGAGGCCAGGCTGGGACTTAGAGTGAGTGGCTGATGGCACTGGGCTCCCTGCTGCCAGCACCCTGACCCTCCACCCACCCCTCCCAGCACTGCCTTACCAGTATGGCCCCCCAGCCCCTGCAGTGACTGGTCTGTATGTGTGCATGAGCACAGTACCCCCTGCTCTGAATTTCCTTACCTCCCTCATGGATATCTATATATATTTACATTTCCTTTATGTAAATTTTGATTGCCAACAGAAATATTTTTCTATCAGTCTTTTGAGTGTCAGGCAAAACCAATGTTTACCAATTAAAAATTGAATCCTGCAAAGCTTAATAATACTTACCATAGAACGAGTTTCCTGGTCCACTTAATTTTATTTTATATTTTCTTAGGTGCTTGTTGTAGGGGATTAAAGTTATTACCATGTTTTATGTACAGATTTCTCCTTGAGATTTTCTTTATCAGGTCGGTGTTAAATCTGACTGGCTAAAGGAGTTCAGGGCTGGCTGGTTGAGCTGTGCGAAACAGCACCATTTCGCTTTGACTTCCATTTTGCCAGGACAGTGTTTCATTTCAAGTTTCATTTCATTTTGAAAGCACTGTTCCATTTCGTTTTGTCAAAACTGTTTCACTGCCTCGATGCTGTTTCGCCCATAGGCTATAATGGAGAAGCATGAAACTGCCTGTAACTTTGTCATTTCTTGCCTGATTCAGATGAGACTTGCAGGGATGGTATCCCCTTCTGAGAGCATAAAGTCTGCCAAGTTTCAAGGAGTTAGGTGCAGGGGTTTCTGGGAAACTGCGCCTGAAGCGGCTGACAAGCAAAATTCATGGGGGGGGGAGGGTGTGTGTGTGTGTGTGTGTGTGTGTGTGTGTGTGTGTGTGTGTGTGTGTGTGTGTGTGTGTGTGTGTGTGTTAAGGCCCAGCTGTTTTTCCGTCCCTCCCCCAGAGCACTGGGATTGGAAGGGACCTCAGGGAAGGATCACAGTCACAGGCCAACTACACAGTCAGTATCAGAGCAGCCCTTCCCCGCTTTTCCCCCTCCCTCTCCTTAGTTTCTGTTTCCCCACAAGCAAGCCACACTCAAAACATTTTGAAACTTTTGAAACACTTCGAGTGCCCTCATTTTGTTTCACGGCTGTTTTGAAGCCCTTTGTTTCATTTTGATCTCACTGTTTTGAGCTTGAAATGAGTCGAAACAACAGTGAAACGAAACACCCGGCAATATTTCACACAGCCCTACTAGCTGGTAAACACAAAGCAACTCCCTGGCCCTTCTTAAGTTGTGGCAGGACATTTCTCTTGTATTGCTTGTATCATGCAGTGATGTTGCTGCCCTCTGCAGTTTGTGTCCACACAGATAACTGCAGTGCTGGGTGATTATGCCCCTAAGGGTGCAAGACTCCAGGGAAGCACCCATAGTATGCACAAATCTGGTGTTGTTGGCAGGGAGCAATGGGAGAAGCAGAGCTTAGCTCACAGATACTGGATTGCTGAATGGGGCTTTTTACCAAGCTGGCCGTTGGATGATCTTAGCCTTTCCTAATTTACTTTCAAGCCCTTTCCCTTGCAACACATTCACCTTGAAAACCATGAATGAATGCAGCCTGGTGACCAGGAGCACACAGCTTTCAGCAGGATCCTGGGGTATCCTCCTCCTCTGCATAGTGACTTTTAAGGAGGAATTAAGAGAATCCTTAGGCTGCTGACTGGCTCAATAGGCCAGCCCTACGGGGCTTAAAGGTAGCTACGATTAGTTATTGAAACCCCCTCAAACGCCAAGTTGACACGGCTGCTACTGATAAGGGAGTCATAATGTATTCTGTGATTGCTTCAGCAAGGCCTCTACACAGGGAAACCTTGGGTGGTAGCACCAGATCTAAAAGGGACCCATTTCCCCAGCTACCTAGTAAGCCATCTGCTGACAAGGTCCTGTTCCTGATTTGCTAGTACCACCATAGGTTGTCCTGCTGGGGATAGAGGCTTCTGCCTAGAAATGAAGTATGTTAGCTCTCCTCCCAAGTTAATCTGCTACCACATGCTGAGCATAGAGAGACAGCCCCTGTCAACCCTTATCAAACTGGTGGCAGTTGGGCATGTGTTCCCCCAGGGGCACTCGCCATGGTGTTATGCAGATGTTCTGCTGCTGGGCCTCCATGACATATTGGGGCAAGAAAGCTGGATGGGTTAGGGTGAGTAGGGGGAACAGTAGTGTCTGGGTAAATTTAGGAATGGCGGGGAAGACATTTGAGGGACGAAGGCTATCACAGGAATTGATGACTGCTAGACAGTATGTTAGAGGGACCTTTCTTAAAATGGTGGCAGCACTTTCCTCCCTAAAGTAGAGAGGCCAGGGGCTGCCAAGGGTGTTCATTCCTCCTCACCTACCACCACTCAAAATGCCCAGCTTTCAGGTCTGGGTGTTGGGGAAGGTGCCCCCCCACTCCCACACTTTCCCAGTAGTTTTGCTGAATGCCCACAAGCCCCTGTCTCATAGGAAGAGGGAGAAGGGCAGGGAAGATCCTGAGGAACACACAGCCAGGACGGGCTGTGTAGCTGTGCTCCGTCTGTCGGCAGCCCGTACAATCTGCGTTCTTTCCATGTGGGTCAGCAGGAAGCTTATGATGGTGCCCAGATGTGCAGCCAGAGACACTCCTGCGCTGCAGAGACAAAGGGGCAGCTCATCTCTAGACTGTGCAAAAGGCTGAGGTTTAGGTTCAGGGTGACCTGGGGGCTTGTGATGGGGCTTGCTCTGGTACTAGAACTCTACCTGAGCCAAAAGTTCTGCTATTTGGTCATTGACCTCTCTGGGGACCATAGTGCATGTGTGGCAGTCTGATTTCCCTCATATAGCCAGGGGAATATAGAAATATTTATCCAAAGTAATGTAAGGAAAATGCCCTGCTAACTATTCAGGCTTCACACTGGCTTGCCCCCTCATCTTGCCACTTGAGCCTCCAAAGAACCCATGAGTGTCTATGAAAATCCTTAGGTTTGGTGTGGTTCAATCTTTATTGATTAACATCAAGTCTATCACACTAACAGCCTGATGGAAAAATATTCCCCTCGGTAATAAATGAAATTTATAGAAAGGGGACTGTAACAAGAAACCCTTACCCCTGTTACTGGGCAGTAGAGAAAGAGAGTGAGGGAGGAACAGGGCAGAGGGATTAAAGAGGAAAACAATGAGTGGCCTAATATTAATTAAGCAATTAGCTGCTCCTTCACAGGGGTAGGAAGCTAGCTGGAGAGAGAGAGGCTACTTAAACAAACCCCTACCAGAAACCAGGGTAGGATGGGGTGGGGTAGGGTAGGGGGAAGGAGAGGAGAGGAGAGGAGAGGAAAGGGAAGGAAGAGTATCCAGGCAGGGTGGCCCCCGCCTCTGCCCAGGTTCCCAGAGCTCTGGGAGTGCGGCTGCCCTCCTCTTCTGGTCCCTGCCCCCCCAGCTCTTTCCTAATGAATGAACAGAATGATTTAAAGCAAGTATGATTTATTGCTTTATGGGTATTTACTTTTTATATTTTGACATGTGATTTTTATAAAGCTTTTAACAGTATACTGTCATTATTCAATTGTCTGCCCCCATAAACCTAGTTTTGTGCAACCCTGGAACATTTTAAACATTAAAAACTGAAATACATGCTTTAAAATAAACATTGATTTTAGCTGTCAAAATTATTAAAACATAAAAATTGAATTTTGCCAAGCCTAGAAATAATGGATGCCCTCTTTACTCACAGACTGGCCTGATACCTTTCCAGTTGCGCTGGTGATTCACTGGTATCCATGGGCTTGCTTTGCCCAGCAGATGATGTAACTGATCCACTGCGGAGCTGCTTAATGATTGTGTCAGTGCCATTCACTCGTAGTTCTCCCCACACCGCTATATTTTGTCATACTCCCTGTTTTCCCCTTGCTTCCCCAGTTCCCTCTGTATAGATCCCAACAGCCTTTCCTGTTTCTCCCCCTACCAGTCTCCCCTCCTGTCATCATGTGTGTCTCAACTGTTGCATCCTTTCAAGACCCACAGCAAACCTCCCTTCCGTCCCACGTGCTTTTGCTGCAGCTGGAACCTGCACTCCAGATCTGCAGGGTCATTCTGTGCAGCATCACTGCATCTTACCAGTACTTCACCTGTCTTTCTCAGAGGTTTTCTTGCCCCTACACTCCCCATACAAAGAGCTGCTCTTTTATGGAGGCTTTTCTCAGATGCTCCCTATTCAGAGCAGAGGTGATGGGAGTCTCCTTTCTTGCTCCTGCCACTTCTAACCTTTCCCTTCCCATGTTTTGTCCTCCCCTGGGTATCTTTTCCCTTCATCAGCCTTCTTCTTATTCTGACTTCCAGCTTTCTTTATTCATCTTGCCACAGCCTCCCAAACTCCTCCTTGGCAGCCCTGCAAGAACTTGACCCTGTCACCTCTTGCCCAGCCTGACTTGGTCTTCTACCCTGATGACTGGAGCTGCACAGCCCAATCAGTGGGAACACTGAAAAGCAGCAAGGGATCCTGGCAGATTGCTTTACAACCCCCATGACTCTCATCAGAGATTTTAGTTAAAATCTGTGGGATTCCTACAGGGATTTCCCAGTTAGGTTTTGGCTCTTCGGGGCCATACACTTGCCAAGCATTCCCTGGAGGCATAAGCAGCTGACTGATATAAGCAGGCTTTTTCTCCTGTGCAGAGTGAGTGTGGAGAAGCTGTACCATGCAACCTTTTAGATTTTACCAAAGCATGAGTGATTGCACAAAATACAGGCTGGGGAATTGGGCCTTATGGAGTTTTGTGTACCACATGTTGAGTAAAACACAGGAGGACTCCATGCTTGTAACCTGGCCCTTTTTTAGGAGGGTTATTTATAGAGGTGCTGCACCTGCAGCTAACATTTCAGCCATGCATACACAGACTGACATCTAGTACCTCTTCCAATCTCTTTCCATCTGCAGTCTGCATTCTTCTCCCAAGTTCCTTGCAGGCAGCTCTGCAGGACACTGACAGAAGACTGTTGAAAAAGTTCATAAGCTGCATGTTAGAGTTCACTTGGATTGACAGAAACCCCACTGTCAGCCCTGCAAGAACCTCACACTGTAACCCTCTAGCCATGCTTAGTGCTAAAAGGTGGAGGGAAAGCTTGTTTTTGGAGTGAGTTAGGCCTGTGCGAAGTGGCTAGTATTCGCTTCAGATTCGGCCAATTCGGGGGACAGTGATTTGATT